TTTTCTAAAGATATTGACTACGGTACGCTTTGTTTCATGTTTCTAAAGATATTGACTACGGTACGCTTTGTTTCATTTTGCTAAAGATATTGACTACAGTACGCTTTGTTTCATTTTGCTAAAGATATTGACTACGGTACGCTTTGTTTCATTTTCTAAAGATATTGACTACGGTACGCTTTGTTTCATGTTTCTAAAGATATTGACTACGGTACGCTTTGTTTCATTTTGCTAAAGATATTGACTACGGTACGCTTTGTTTCATGTTTCTAAAGATATTGACTACAGTACGCTTTGTTTCATTTTGCTAAAGATATTGACTACGGTACGCTTTGTTTCATTTTGCTAAAGATATTGACTACAGTACGCTTTGTTTCATGTTTCTAAAGATATTGACTACGGTACGCTTTGTTTCATGTTTCTAAAGATATTGACTACGGTACGCTTTGTTTCATTTTGCTAAAGATATTGACTACGGTACGCTTTGTTTCATTTTGCTAAAGATATTGACTACGGTACGCTTTGTTTCATTTTGCTAAAGATATTGACTACGGTACGCTTTGTTTCATTTTGCTAAAGATATTGACTACAGTACGCTTTGTTTCATGTTTCTAAAGATATTGACTACAGTACGCTTTGTTTCATGTTTCTAAAGATATTGACTACAGTACGCTTTGTTTCATGTTTCTAAAGATATTGACTACGGTACGCTTTGTTTCATGTTTCTAAAGATATTGACTACAGTACGCTTTGTTTCATGTTTCTAAAGATATTGACTACAGTACGCTTTGTTTCATGTTTCTAAAGATATTGACTACAGTACGCTTTGTTTCATGTTTCTAAAGATATTGACTACAGTACGCTTTGTTTCATGTTTCTAAAGATATTGACTACGGTACGCTTTGTTTCATTTTGCTAAAGATATTGACTACAGTACGCTTTGTTTCATTTTGCTAAAGATATTGACTACGGTACGCTTTGTTTCATTTTCTAAAGATATTGACTACGGTACGCTTTGTTTCATGTTTCTAAAGATATTGACTACGGTACGCTTTGTTTCATTTTGCTAAAGATATTGACTACGGTACGCTTTGTTTCATGTTTCTAAAGATATTGACTACAGTACGCTTTGTTTCATTTTGCTAAAGATATTGACTACGGTACGCTTTGTTTCATTTTGCTAAAGATATTGACTACAGTACGCTTTGTTTCATGTTTCTAAAGATATTGACTACGGTACGCTTTGTTTCATTTTGCTAAAGATATTGACTACGGTACGCTTTGTTTCATTTTCTAAAGATATTGACTACGGTACGCTTTGTTTCATGTTTCTAAAGATATTGACTACGGTACGCTTTGTTTCATTTTGCTAAAGATATTGACTACAGTACGCTTTGTTTCATTTTGCTAAAGATATTGACTACGGTACGCTTTGTTTCATTTTCTAAAGATATTGACTACGGTACGCTTTGTTTCATGTTTCTAAAGATATTGACTACGGTACGCTTTGTTTCATTTTGCTAAAGATATTGACTACGGTACGCTTTGTTTCATGTTTCTAAAGATATTGACTACAGTACGCTTTGTTTCATTTTGCTAAAGATATTGACTACGGTACGCTTTGTTTCATTTTGCTAAAGATATTGACTACAGTACGCTTTGTTTCATGTTTCTAAAGATATTGACTACGGTACGCTTTGTTTCATTTTGCTAAAGATATTGACTACGGTACGCTTTGTTTCATGTTTCTAAAGATATTGACTACAGTACGCTTTGTTTCATTTTGCTAAAGATATTGACTACGGTACGCTTTGTTTCATTTTGCTAAAGATATTGACTACAGTACGCTTTGTTTCATGTTTCTAAAGATATTGACTACGGTACGCTTTGTTTCATGTTTCTAAAGATATTGACTACAGTACGCTTTGTTTCATGTTTCTAAAGATATTGACTACGGTACGCTTTGTTTCATGTTTCTAAAGATATTGACTACAGTACGCTTTGTTTCATGTTTCTAAAGATATTGACTACGGTACGCTTTGTTTCATGTTTCTAAAGATATTGACTACGGTACGCTTTGTTTCATGTTTCTAAAGATATTGACTACGGTACGCTTTGTTTCATTTTGCTAAAGATATTGACTACAGTACGCTTTGTTTCATGTTTCTAAAGATATTGACTACAGTACGCTTTGTTTCATGTTTCTAAAGATATTGACTACAGTACGCTTTGTTTCATTTTGCTAAAGATATTGACTACAGTACGCTTTGTTTCATATTTCTAAAGATATTGACTACAGTACGCTTTGTTTCATGTTTCTAAAGATATTGACTACAGTACGCTTTGTTTCATGTTTCTAAAGATATTGACTACAGTACGCTTTGTTTCATGTTTCTAAAGATATTGACTACAGTACGCTTTGTTTCATGTTTCTAAAGATATTGACTACAGTACGCTTTGTTTCATGTTTCTAAAGATATTGACTACGGTACGCTTTGTTTCATTTTGCTAAAGATATTGACTACGGTACGCTTTGTTTCATTTTGCTAAAGATATTGACTACAGTACGCTTTGTTTCATGTTTCTAAAGATATTGACTACGGTACGCTTTGTTTCATTTTGCTAAAGATATTGACTACGGTACGCTTTGTTTCATTTTGCTAAAGATATTGACTACGGTACGCTTTGTTTCATTTTGCTAAAGATATTGACTACAGTACGCTTTGTTTCATGTTTCTAAAGATATTGACTACGGTACGCTTTGTTTCATGTTTCTAAAGATATTGACTACAGTACGCTTTGTTTCATGTTTCTAAAGATATTGACTACAGTACGCTTTGTTTCATGTTTCTAAAGATATTGACTACAGTACGCTTTGTTTCATGTTTCTAAAGATATTGACTACAGTACGCTTTGTTTCATGTTTCTAAAGATATTGACTACAGTACGCTTTGTTTCATGTTTCTAAAGATATTGACTACAGTACGCTTTGTTTCATGTTTCTAAAGATATTGACTACAGTACGCTTTGTTTCATGTTTCTAAAGATATTGACTACAGTACGCTTTGTTTCATGTTTCTAAAGATATTGACTACGGTACGCTTTGTTTCATTTTGCTAAAGATATTGACTACAGTACGCTTTGTTTCATGTTTCTAAAGATATTGACTACGGTACGCTTTGTTTCATGTTTCTAAAGATATTGACTACAGTACGCTTTGTTTCATGTTTCTAAAGATATTGACTACAGTACGCTTTGTTTCATGTTTCTAAAGATATTGACTACAGTACGCTTTGTTTCATGTTTCTAAAGATATTGACTACAGTACGCTTTGTTTCATGTTTCTAAAGATATTGACTACAGTACGCTTTGTTTCATGTTTCTAAAGATATTGACTACAGTACGCTTTGTTTCATGTTTCTAAAGATATTGACTACAGTACGCTTTGTTTCATGTTTCTAAAGATATTGACTACAGTACGCTTTGTTTCATGTTTCTAAAGATATTGACTACGGTACGCTTTGTTTCATTTTGCTAAAGATATTGACTACGGTACGCTTTGTTTCATTTTGCTAAAGATATTGACTACGGTACGCTTTGTTTCATTTTGCTAAAGATATTGACTACAGTACGCTTTGTTTCATGTTTCTAAAGATATTGACTACGGTACGCTTTGTTTCATTTTGCTAAAGATATTGACTACGGTACGCTTTGTTTCATTTTTCTAAAGATATTGACTACGGTACGCTTTGTTTCATTTTGCTAAAGATATTGACTACAGTACGCTTTGTTTCATGTTTCTAAAGATATTGACTACGGTACGCTTTGCTTCATGTTTCTAAAGATATTGACTACAGTACGCTTTGTTTCATGTTTCTAAAGATATTGACTACGGTACGCTTTGTTTCATGTTTCTAAAGATATTGACTACGGTACGCTTTGTTTCATTTTGCTAAAGATATTGACTACAGTACGCTTTGTTTCATGTTTCTAAAGATATTGACTACGGTACGCTTTGTTTCATTTTGCTAAAGATATTGACTACGGTACGCTTTGTTTCATTTTGCTAAAGATATTGACTACGGTACGCTTTGTTTCATGTTTCTAAAGATATTGACTACGGTACGCTTTGTTTCGTTTTGCTAAAAATACTGTCTACCGCTACGCTCGATCCGTCTAATGTCCACTGTTTTAAAATTATGGATGTCATATCAACACAATATTGTCGCTTTTAGAAAATTGTTATTATATATATATATATATATATATATATATATATATATATATATATATATATATATATATATATATATATATATATATATATATATATATATATATATATATATATATATATATATATATACCCAATAACCAATATCTGGCTTAACCACTGGAATGAATGAACAAACTACGTCATATAAACAACGCATAGGCCTATAGGTAATAGTGTGCATGAATATACAATTAGAAATCTGAGAATTAACAATCCACGTTAGCTGTCACATCTGATAGAAGTTTTCTGAACGAGTTTCTCTAAAATCAATATTGACGCGTGCAAAATTCAAATGAATCTCAGATTGTGTGGACGTGTTGTAACACAGACTAACCATGTTTGTATCGCTGTCCAACCAATCGTTTGGTACTAACATCTTTCTGGTACCCTCCCAATGGTTCATAAGTATCAGATACCAATAGACGTGTGTTTTTCATTTGATGGCTTATATATATATATATATATATATATATATATATATATATATATATATATATATATATATATATATATATATATACGTATATACATATATACATATATATATATGGTTTGTGTTTGTGTATGTGTATGTGTGTGTGTGTGTTCTTGACTTCGGCCTATAATATACTTCAACTAGTGGTTAGTCATGATACAAACCTTAAATGAGTTATCTTGTGATAATCGAAAAGTCCTCTTTGGATAATATCTATGGCCTACATGATCAAACACTCTGACTACTCACCAATGGGAAGCTTGTACTGGCTGGACATGAGCTCCTGAACTTGCATAATGACACATAAACATCCAATGACTTGTGTGTAAGCCATATTGGTGCTGTTGAATAGTTTGGATGGTGTTGTTTCAGTTTTCTAACAAAACTAGTCTAAACCTATGCTGTATACACATTCCCCATTTAACATGAGAGTAACAAGCATTATATATTAATGTTCAATATTTATCTATCTCCCGCCGGTTGACACGTTTACTGATATAATAACAAGTATTAAGACTAGAACAATACACTTTAAACTGGATCAACTTACATGTTAGGCACTTAGTCTCCGTCAGAGGAAATCTATCATTTCTTCACAAGGATAGCAACACTTTCAACATGCTGTATGCTTTAGTGTTCTCATAATAAAGCGGAGAAAACTAAGAGATGAAGTTGTTGAAGGATTTATCATCCCTCCATTCGGACACACTTTTCCCTGCCATGAAGATGGGAGTGGATCAATAAGCCAGCGACAATCGACCAACCACTTCCATGCAAGAATCAACGGAGAGAGTTACTCTTCCCTGATAAATGGCACACTTCCCCTTTTAGCTTAGCTACTGTTTATTTTCACTGACAACTCTAATTATAGCTTGTATGAGTAAACTAGCACTTTATTTGCTCATCTCATTCTGTAACCACAAATAATTGTAGACATGTAGGCCTAACATTTATTGAAGTGAAATGTTTACAGGAACCCTAAACACTTGTTATAATCGACGTGCGCCCAATTTATGTTTCTTCGACGCAATAAGATCATGTATGCCTCATAGTCGCATTGGTTTCGTTTTAAATCTTTTAATAAGATTATTAGTTAGACTATGAAGTAAAGTTTACGTCATGTCTATTTTAAGAACCCGCTATTTTCTTTAACCTTACACACGTAGCTGTCCCACACAAAATGTGCCTACCTAAATCTGTAGAGACATGACGACATACCCGACACAAATTTGCCTACCTAAATCTGTAGAGACATGACGACATACCCGACACAAATTTGCCTACCTAAATCTGTAGAGACATGACGACATACCCGACACAAATTTGCCTACCTAAATCTGTAGAGACATGACGACATACCCGACACAAATTTGCCTACCTAAATCTGTAGAGACATGACGACATACCCGACACAAATTTGCCTACCTAAATCTGTAGAGACATGACGACATACCCGACACAAATTTGCCTACCTAAATCTGTAGAGACATGACGACATACCCGACACAAATTTGCCTACCTAAATCTGTAGAGACATGACGACATACCCGACACAAATTTGCCTACCTAAATCTGTAGAGACATGACGACATACCCGACAAAAATTCTAAAAAGATGTGACGACAGACCTAACTAAATTCTGAAGTTTCAAAAAAATTCGAAAAACAACAAACGTTTTAATAACAAGCCTTTGTGTCACTATATTATTAATTGGATACCTTGACCAATATTTAGGAAGAGGAGACCCACGCTTTTCTTTTAACTTATTTAAATAGTAGCGTATTGTTATATATTTTCTCCTTTTTAGAGAATTATTACATAAAAGCTTGTTGCTAAATCGTTTGATTGCATTTTTGTAATAAACTTCATACAATAGAGTTTCATGACTAAAAACAATTGCGCACCAAATGAACATGATGATGCGAAATCGTAGTATAGAATAGAACAACCCACTCAATGAGGTCTAAATGATGTCATCGGGTTAAGACCCATTGCCGAATTTCAGAGAAATTGATCGCTTAAAAGTGCTTAAAATTTCTCTCGCCATTTTTTTATCTAGACAGAAAGACAGACAGACACGACGAGGAGGCAAGTTCGATAAAAGATTGTAAAAAGATGTAATGGTAGAAAGACTTAATCAGAACATATCATCTCAAAACTGTTCGTTATAAAAAGTGGCACAATCGATTCACAAAATTTATGTAATAAGTAAACTAACACGGGAATCACAAAACTATGAAGTTGAAAATGATTTTAGAAAAGACAATTACTGTACATCCAAAAAATAAAAAAATTACGTTATTAGTCTTTCAGTTAAGAACAGAAAAAACACTATAGAGTTTTATAAATATTTCAAGATAATCTAGCAGTCTTCAGCCAACTAAAACATTTGGGGTTCTGGAGATTTAACTCTTGGATTAAAAATCCGGATCTTCAACACACTAGTAAAACCTGTTTTACTCTATGGAGCTGAGACATGGAGAACAGCTGCCACAAACAAGAAGAAAATACATTCTCATAAAGCAGAAAGATCCTTCAAATACACTGGCCTAACACCACCAGAAATGAGGTGCTATGGCAATGGACAAATCAACTGCCTCTACAGATCCTCTAAAGAAATGGAGTAGCCACTCTCAAGTGGCCTAACAAAAACAGATAGATTGGCCACACTCTCAAGTGGCCTAACAAAAACAGATAGATTGGCCACACACTCAAGTGGCCTAACAAAAACAGATAGATTGGCCACACACTCAAGTGGCCTAACAAAAACAGATAGATGGGCCACACACTCTCAAGTGGCCTAACAAAAACAGAGAGATGGGCCACACACTCTCAATTGGCCTAACAAAAACAGATAGATGGGCCACACACTCTCAAGTGGCCTAACAAAAACAGATAGATTGGCCACACACTCAAGTGGCCTAACAAAAACAGATAGATTGGCCACACACTCTCAATTGGCCTAACAAAAACAGATAGATTGGCCACACACTCAAGTGGCCTAACAAAAACAGAGAGATTGGCCACACACTCAAGTGGCCTAACAAAAACAGATAGATGGGCCACACACTCTCAAGTGGCCTAACAAAAACAGATAGATGGGCCACACACTCTCAAGTGGCCTAACAAAAACAGATAGATTGGCCACACACTCAAGTGGCCTTACAAAAACAGAGAGAATGGCCACACACTCAAGTACCTAACAAAAACAGATAGATGGGCCACACACTCTCAAGTGGCCTAACAAAAACAGAGAGAATGGCCACACACTCAAGTGGCCTAACAAAAACAGATAGATGGGCCACACACTCAAGTGGCCTAACAAAAACAGATAGATGGGCCACACACTCTCAAGTGGCCTAACAAAAACAGAGAGAATGGCCACACTCTCAAGTGGCCTAACAAAAACAGAGAGATTGGCCACACACTCAAGTGGCCTAACAAAAAGAGATAGATTGGCCACACACTCTCAAGTGGCCTAACAAAAAGAGATAGATTGGCCACACACTCTCAAGTGGCCTAACAAAAACAGAGAGATTGGCCACACACTCAAGTGGCCTAACAAAAACAGATAGATTGGCCACACACTCAAGTGGCCTAACAAAAAGAGATAGATTGGCCACACACTCAAGTGGCCTAACAAAAACAGGTCCTCACCTGGGCTCCACAGGGCCAAAGAGGCCGACCGAGGGAGACCTCGGAACGTGACGGCAGACTCCCAGAAGAGTGGATACACCTGAGACTAGCATAGAACAGAGATCAGTGTTTCTTTCTGAGTTTTTCTCCGGGGGGGGGGGGGGGCACTTGGAATTTCCGGGAGGTGGACACTGTTAAAAGTATAGATTTTCTATATAAATTCCATTTCGTTCGGGGGGGGGGGGGGGGGTAGACTTCAAAGAGATGCTTGGAAGAAATACTGATAAAGATGCATGGAAAGATCTTGTCAGCGGCCTGTATCCCAGGAGGGGTGACAGGCTAACCCAACCTGACAGCACAACCATATAAGCAAAGTTAGCGACGCTGAGGTTGGAACTAAAAATAGTCAGTCTGATATAAATTTTGACTTTCTCGTACATGAGCAAGTAAAGTAAATCGTGCAAAACACAAACAGACACATGGGGCCAGAGAACACTAGGACATACAGACACATGGGGCCAGAGAACACTAGGACACACAGACAGACACATGGGGCCAGAGAACACTAGGACACACAGACACATGGGGCCAGAGAACACTAGGACACACAGACACATGAGGCCAGAGAACACTAGGACACACAGACACATGGGGCCAGAGAACACTAGGACACACAGACACATGGGACCAGAGAACACTAGGACACACAGACACATGGAGCCAGAGAACACTAGGACACACAGACAGACACATGGGGCCAGAGAACACTAAGACACACAGACACATGGGGCCAGAGAACACTAGGACATACAGACACATGGGGCCAGAGAACACTAGGACACACAGACACATGGGGCCAGAGAACACTAGGACACACAGACACATGAGGCCAGAGAACACTAGGACACACAGACAGACACATGGGGCCAGAGAACACTAGGACACACAGACACATGGGGCCAGAGAACACTAGGACACACAGACACATGGGGCCAGAGAGCACTAGGACACACAGAAAGACACATGGGACCAGAGAACACTAGGACACACAGACAGACACATGGGAACAGAGAACACTAGGACACACAGACACATGGGGCCAGGGAACACTAGGACACACAGACACATGGGGCCAGAGAACACTAGGACATACAGACACATGGGGCCAGAGAACACTAGGACACACAGACACATGGGGCCAGAGAACACTAAGACACACAGACACATGGGGCCAGAGAACACTAGGACATACAGACACATGGGGCCAGAGAACACTAGGACACACAGACACATGGGGCCAGAGAACACTAGGACACACAGACACATGGAGCCAGAGAACACTGGGACACACAGACACATGGGACCAGAGAACACTAGGACACACAGACACATGGGGCCAGAGAACACTAGGACACACAGACACATGGGGCCAGAGAACACTAGGACATACGGACACATGGGGCCAGAGAACACTAGGAGACACAGACACATGGGGCCAGAGAACACTAGGACACAGACACATTGGGCCAGAGAACACTAGGACACACAGACACATGGGGCCAGAGAACACTAGGACACACAGACAGACACGTGGGGCCAGAGAACACTAGGACACACAGACACATGGGACCAGAGAACACTAGGACACACAGACACATGGGGCCAGAGAACACTAGAACACACAGACACATGGGACCAGAGAACACTAGGACACACAGACACATGGGGCCAGAGAACACTAGGACACACAGACAAATGGAGCCAGAGAACACTAGGACACACAGACACATGGGACCAGAGAACACAAGGACACACAGACACATGGGGCCAGGGAACACTAGGACATACAGACGCATGGGGCCAGAGAACACTAGGACACACAGACAGACACATGGGGCCAGAGAACACTAGGTCACACAGACACATGGGGCCAGGCAACACTAGGACACACAGACACATGGGGCCAGAGAACACTAGGACACACAGACACATGGAGCCAGAGAACACTAGGACACACAGACACATGGGACCAGAGAACACAAGGACACACAGACACATGGGGCCAGGGAACAC